TGGCAGCGGAAGGGGCGAGACAGTCGTGGTGGATTTATTGAGAAAATAAATGATTATGTTATTATGAACCATGTTTAAAAATCGCTTCCGCATTAAACACTCCGTATTTACTACAATTATGTTTGGAATTTCATTTATGATGAATAAAGTTATTTGAAATGTTTTAAATTATACGATTACCAAGTTAATACTTTAGTTCAGAAGGGGTTGTAAACCTGGACGGATTAGGGTGTTACAATTTGGTATCGGAGCAAATGGTTTTAAACCCGATCTTCAGATCAAAACTTGGATAAAATATATATATATATATATATATATATATATATATATTTTACACATTATATATGTATTTCGGCCAAAAAAAAATGATGTCAATCAAGTCCACGACTCTCGCATCCCTCTCCTCCAGGAAGGTAATAAAAAAATGAGTATTGAAATTGACTGTATCAGATTTTATAGATGTCAACTGTTAATTCGGAAATGATATCAAGTGTTGATTCAAGTCGCACTTTCGTATTTGGTAAAAGACGAAAGAACAAACGAATTGTCTATGACTCGTGTATACGTTACCAACGTGCACATCGATTCGCAAAAATAATGAAACGAAGGATTTATCTGCGCCGCAAGGCTGCATGGGAACAAGATGACCCAGAAGAGACGTTCAGCGTAGACTCTGCCAGTAGTGTATGTGGGTCGGGCAAGGAAGACTCGTCTGTAGATTCGGCACGATCCAACCAATCGAACGCAAACGCTTAGAAAATTATCTTATTGTTGGTTTTAAATCCATTGATTGTATCAACTGTTGTAACCCTTTGCAATTCCTGTCTTAAACTCAACTACTGAATAAAAGAATCCTAATAAAGGAATTTCTGTTATTGTAGAATGAGTCAAGAATCTGCCCACGGACAAGGCAACAATAATGAACACGTCAGTGTTCATACTGAAGCATCTAGCTTTACCCCTCCCGTCCAAAATGAACCCGTCAATCAACAAAATGTTGGGAATAACTCGAACGCTGATGGTCAACCCAACCTTGTGATTCCCACATTCCTGGCAAATGTATTACAACAGATAGCCAACGCACCAATGTTTCAACCACCTCCACCACCGCCACCGCGAGTGATAACCTACAAAACATTAAGGGATAACGGTGCAGAATTATTCCTTGGGGATCGCATCGGTGAACCCCAAATTGCATGGGACTGGATCGAGCAGACTGCTCGAGTATTGGAGGATCTTAATGTACCCATTGGCAACTATCCCCGAATGGCGTCTCAGCTACTTCGCAAGGAAGCCTACGAGTGGTGGAAGAGGACTGATGAGAGTGCGGGAACCCCTAAGCCATGGACATGGGCACATTTCGAATGGGCATTCAAGCAAGAATATATTCCAAAACGTTTTAGCGAAGAAAGACGTAAAGAATTTGTCGAATTGCAACAGGGAGGCATGACACTCCCCGAGTATCGTCAGAAGTTTACCAGTCTTGCTAAGTTTGCACCAACTTTGGTGAGTACCCCAACCGATCGCATCGAGGAATTCAGGAAGAAACTTCGACCTGACCTTAGGTCGCGTGTGTCCGTCCTAACCACCGTGGATTTCGCGGAGGCCTATGATCTCATAGCTAGGGCAGACAGCGACTTGAGTGCTTGCATTGAATATCTGAAGACAAATAATGTCAGTTCAAGCACTCACCGTCCCATCAGCTCTATCTCAAAAGGAAAAAGGCCCTTTCAGGAATCTAGCAATTCACACTTCTCAAAGAAGGGGAAATCGGTGCAGACGCACTCTGTGGCGTCGGAAAACAAATCAAGAGGGTGGAAACACCCATTGTGCGATACATGTGGGAGACATCATCCAGGCGAGTGTTGGCTTGCCCAAGGATTATGTCTAGGTTACGGCAAACCTGGACATTTTCGAAGAGATTGCCCCACTAATCCTGGCAAACCATTTCCGACAGCCCCAGTTGTTAGTCAATCAGCATCAGCACGACCTGCGCCAAGTCAACGATCAACGGCAGGATCTAATCCGGCCAAGAACCAGAGTCAGCAACAGGGACGAGCTCCTGCTCGTACTTATGCAATGAAGGCACGAGCTGAGGAAAACCCTGACGTCATTCAGGGTATGTTTTCCTTATTTGATTCTGTCATGCATGTGTTGATAGATCCTGGATCAACGTTATCTTATATCTGCGTGCCTATGCCTGACAAGGCTGACATAATGAAAGAAAACTTAGAACAACCTATACTAGTGTCTAACCCGTTAGGACATAGTATGAGGTTAAATCATGTGTATCAAGACTGTCCATTGATTGTTGAAGGACATCAGTTCTCTGCCAATCTTGTCGAATTACCGTACAAAGAATTTGACATCATCCTCGGAATGGATTGGCTCACCGAACATCAAGCAATTATCGATTGCCGACAACGAACGATTCAACTAAAGTCTGGAGAGGGAAATTCTATAAAGGTGAAAGAGAATCTAACACCTAGATCCACTGAATTCATCTCGTACATACACGCTAGGCGTCTCATTCGAAAGAAATGTGAAGCTTATCTGTGTAACGTACGTGACACACGAAAAGAAATTCCTGAGTTGAAAGACATACCGACAGTATGTGGTTTTCCTGACGTATTTCCTGACGAACTTCCGGGTATACCATCTTCCAGAGAAGTAGAATTTTCCATCGATCTTGTTCCTGGAACAGGACCGATATCTGCAACTCCCTATCGCATGGCTCCCGCTGAAATGAAAGAGTTGAAGGCTCAACTACAAGAATTACTCGATAAAGGATTCATACGTCCGAGTGTTTCCCCTTGGGGAGCACACGTCCTGTTTGTTAAAAAGAAAGACGGCTCGATGAGACTCTGTATCGATTACCATCAATTGAACAAAGTCACAATCAAAAATCGATATCCTTTACCTCGTATCGATGACTTATTTGATCACTTAGAGGATCTACTGTATTCTCTAAGATTGACTTACGGTCAGGATACCATCAAATCCCTGTAAAGAAAGAGGACATCCCAAAGATTGCGTTCCGTACTCGTTATGGTCATTATGAGTTTACGGTAATGCCCTTTGGTTTGACCAATGCTCCAGCAGTATTCATGGATCTCATGAATAGTGTATTCCGACCTTATCTTGATCAATTCGTGGTTGTATTCATCGACGATATTCTTGTCTATTCAAAGAATCGAGAAGACCATGCGAAACATTTGGAGATAGTACTCAGCATACTACGGGAACATAAACTATATGCCAAACTGTCAAAGTGTGAATTTTGGCTTAATGAAGTTACGTTTTTGGGACATGTGATTTCTCAAGAAGGTGTTAAGGTAGACCCCAGTAAAATATCTGCCATCACCGAGTGGAAGGTTCAAAGGAATGTTCGTGAAGTGAGGAGCTTTCTTGGATTAGCTGGATACTATCGACGATTCGTTGAAGGCTTTTCCTTGATCGCAACTCCACTTAACAAACTTCTGAGAAAAGATGTGAAATTTGTATGGACCGATGCATGTCAGCAAGGCTTTGAGAAACTAAAGAAATGTCTGACAGAAGCACCTGTGCTGACCCAACCAGTACCAGGTGTAGACTACACAATCTTTAGTGACGCATCTCATAATGGCTTCGGATGTGTACTCATGCAAGACGGAAAAGTCGTGGCATACGCATCAAGACAGTTGAAACCTCACGAATGTAACTATCCTACTCACGATCTTGAGTTAGCAGCAGTTGTATTTGCTTTGAAAATATGGCGTCATTATCTCTTTGGAGAGACGACATATATTCACACAGACCACAAAAGTCTAAAATACCTGCTAACTCAAAAAGAGTTGAACCTGAGACAGAGAAGATGGTTGGAATTGATCAAAGACTACGACTGCTACATTGACTATCACCCTGGCAAGGCTAACGTAGTTGCTGATGCATTGAGCCGAAAGATGATAGCCGAACTCCGAGTTCAACCTACTCTTGAGAACGAAATTCATGCTGCACAAAAACGTGATGACTACTGTTTGAAGACTTGTGAACTTGTCTCTAAGGGGGAGAGACAAGATTTCACAGTAAATAATGGAATTTTATTCTACCGGAATCGCTTGGTAGTTCCTAGTGGCGAAGTGAGGGAACGTTTAATGCGTGAATCTCACGAAACCACTTATAC